TATAATTATATTTATTATATATATATTATGTTTAATAAAATAATGTATAATATATATTAAATATTATTATATAATATAAATATTAACACAATATTATAATATGTATATATATAATTACTTTATTATATTATATTATATTTATTATTATTATAGTATATTAAATAGTATATTATAGTATATTATATAGCATATTATAGTATATAATAATATAATTATTATTATATATATCTATATACTATAATTAATATATTAATATATTATATTATAATTATTATATTTATATTTTATTATATTATATTATTATATAACTAAATATATATATTATATTACATATAATTTTTTTATATGAATAATTATATATTAATATATAATTTATATAATATATAAAATATAATATATTATTATAGTAATATATATTATACATTAACTATAATAATAATAATATATATATATATATAATAACTAAAATATTAATTAAATATATTTATATAAATAATTGATAATGTAACAAATAAATAATGAAACTATATAATTTAATAAATAAGTAATTAAATTAAATAATAAATAATAAATAAGTAACCAATATTGAAAACAAAGATGGCAAACAATTAATATGGATGTTTGTACTAATATAAAATATATATTAGCATAATATTATAATAAATTAATAATATAACAAATAATAAGTAATTAAATTAAATAATATAATAAATAAGTAATCAATTTTGAAAACAAAGTTTATGGAAACAATTAAAATGAACGCCTATACTTTGTTATCAAATGCAACTATTATATTTAAATATAGTTAATAAAAAAAAAATATTATTAATACATATTAATAAATATGTAATAATTTAATATAAGATTTAAAAAAGAAATATATTATAATATATATTATATAAATATATTATATATATTAATATAATAATATAATAAATTAAATAATTAATAAATAAGTATAATGAAACGAAATTATATAATAAATAAGTATTTAAATTAAATAATATAATTAATAAGTATTTAAATAAATAATATAATACATAAGAGTAATGAAACTAAATAATATAATAAATAAGTAATTAAATTAAATAATATAATAAATAAGTAATGAAATAAATAATATAATAAATAAATAAATAAATAAATAAATAATATAATAAATAAG